GCCCCCTCGACGCCGCGCCCACCGACGAGCGCCAGGCCGAGGCCTACCTGGCGGCCGCCGCGCGCGCCTTCGCCGCCTGGGGCGCGCCCTTCGCGCGCTACCACGACAAGGTGCGCCTCTGGGATGGGGTTGCCGGCGCTTCGGGCCGCCAGCTTCTCGGAGCTCCGTCGTCTCAGACCCCGGCCCCTCTGCGCTGCTCCCTTCCTTTGCTTGAACCGCATCAGTTCAAAGCGCTGGCGTCTCAGACCGCAGACCCGCCTCCCCACTGCTCTAAAACTAATCGGTCCATAACGTAAACGCCTTAGACCCCAGCACCTCTCTCCTTCCCCTGGCAGGTATCAATTGTTGACAGTTTCATGCAATCGGATGGGAGCTTGAACGTCACTATAGTGACGTCACTAAGGGGACGTTCAAGCTCCCGATTGTATGAAACCGTCAACAGCGGATACCTGCCAGGGGCAGAATTGCATAAATCGCAGTATACTTATTGGCTCTGGAAGATCGGTTTGTGAATTAAAGTGTTGATGACAGGCCTTCCATAGAACGTTTGCTTGCGCTACAAATAAAAGAGATGATTCTGGATCTCCCCTTCGCCCGTCGCCTCAGACCCCGGTCCCTCAGTGCCGCTCCCTCTCGTTGTCTAAACTGCATCAATCCAAAGCGCTGACGCCTCAGACCGCAGAACCTCCCCCCCAACTGCTCTAAAACTAATCGGACCATAGCGTTAAAGCCTCAGACCGCAGACCCTCCCCGCATTGCCCTAAAAATAATCGGTACATAGCGCTAACGAGTCAGACTCCAACCCCTCTTCCCCCATTGCCCTAAAACACATCAGCCCAAAGCTCTGACGCCTCAGACTGCAGTCTCTCTTCCCTCCCACATTGCCCTAAACCTCATTGGTCCAAAGCCGTCAGTCCCCAGCTCCAGCCATAGACCTAAACCGCATCAGTACATAGTGCTAACGCTTCAAACCACAGGCTCTCCCCCCTCCCCATTGCTCTAAACCGCATCTATCCATTGCGCTAATGCGTCAGACCCCAGCCCCTCTCCGCACCCCATTGCCCTGAAACGCATCGGGCCGAAGTCTCAGACCCCCTAGCGACTGAGGCCTATGTCGCGTCGGTCGAGACATCATCGTCCCATACTCAATCAATCTACGGTCCGAGTGCTCTGTTGCCTCATGTACCCATTCCCGTACACCCATCTTTTCATATATCCAACGCCTCTTGTCCTCTCGCCATTTTCATATGCCCATCGCCTCCTATTCCCTGCGCCTACGCCACATAAACACCCATCGACTCGTCCCTTCACCTGATACCATCGCCTCATATACATATCAACTCGTATACCCATCGCCTCTGATCCTCACCGCTTGAGATCACTTTCGCCTCATCTTGCTTCATTATCGTGTTTCGCCAGACTTCCCCTCATGTAATTGCCTCCTCTCCCCGCCTTGCCTTACTCACCTCGTCCTCTTCCTCGCCTACGAGGAAATTAGGAACTACATGTAAAATCTAGAGTTTTTATACGTTCTGTTAAAAAAAACACGATTTGATGCATTTCAGTATTTTCCAATACGAGAGCAAAAATGTTCCACGAAATCTTAAAAAAAAAAATAATAACGAGAAGAAATATAGCTGACTTAGCAATGTTTTACACATATGTGTAAAACATAAGTTATACACACATGTATTTGCCTATGTATGTGTATAAATATATTGATTTTGCAAAGATTTTGACGATCATAGTTTTGGGAGTGCTTCCGTTTATAATCACAATGAAGTGATAATCTATTACTAAAACAAGTAAATGATAACTAGTAAAAACGATAGATCACTCCTCACCCCTGATTTTCCTACACCCAAAAAGCTACAAATGTCTCCAAAATCGAAACTAGTGTATCGAATCGTTAATCAAAGGATTTCATAATTTTCCAAAAATAGTTTTCGATCCGTGAATTTAACGTAACATTTGTGATTTCGAATAATTCAAATCGGCTTTGATTTTCCTGAAAATGTTCGTTTCGTTCCAGGTGCTTTCATTACAAGGCAAGATATACAAGAAAGTGCAAGCAATGGACCGCGTTCGTCCGGGCAAATTCAATGTGATGGTGCACGGCGACTTTTGGATCAACAACATCCTCTTCAAACGTGACGCGAAAGGGCAGGTATGCGACGTGCGGTTCGTGGACTTGCAGATGTGCCACGTATCCAACCCGGCCTTCGACCTGCTGCTGCTACGGTACACCAGCCTCTCCGAGGATGTCTTCTGGCACGACTGGGACCGCCTCCTGGAGGAGTACGCCGGCGTTCTGGCCGAGACACTGGAACTCCTGGGAGAGCAGCCGGTCACGCTGGAGGACATTCGGAGGGACCTGGAGGAAGCGAAGCACTTCGCCGTCCCGGCCGCGCTCCTCTGGCTGCCTCCCGTGAAGATGCAGGGGGCCACGTACGACATCGAGCAGGTGCTCGAGGAGGGAGGCTTCGACAGCCAGGCGGCCATGTACCACACGCCGCTTTTCCGACGGTGGATGGAGAAGCTGTTGCCTTTGTTCGATAAGGAAGGAGTGTTCGATTTGTGATAGCTGACTAATGTGTTTCTAAGACGTTCAGAGGCAATAACTTCTCCTGGGGGTACAAGGTAGTTCCAACAATATCCCTAGACTTTAATTTTTTACTGGTATTTCAAGTCACTTGAAATATGAACGTTTTTTATCAAGAGTAACTGAATCCGTCCTACGATGTACTCTAAGAAGTACAGAGAATGATTGTAAAGAGGAGAAAAAATTGAGTAACAGTCTGTATTCGCAATCTGTTTCATGTATGTAGTGTGTGACAAGTTCATTTATTGTGGTTACCTGAGAACTTTTTAAAGATGATGATTATTATTATTATTATTATTATTATTATTATTATTACTATTACTACTACTACTATTATTAAAGATTTAAGTTCTTCGAAAATTAATTCATCAAATTTGTGTAAATTAATTTTTATATAACTTTTTTTAGCTAAGTATCTTGTGTTTTCAAATAGAAATATTTTTTCATAATTTTAAATTTACTGAATTGAACAAACCGCAACTATAAAATGAAATAAACCTAATGTAATTAATTATGACAATAAGTAAGTGTTATTTAGAATAAATAATTAACATTATATTACATATTTCTATTGTCATACCTAAATTCCTTTCTGAGTGTCATATACTGATAAAATCTATCTGCATTGTACAAAGCAATACTGAAAGCATTAGTAGTAAGTCAAATATGTTTTGATCACACAGGTTAAGTTATTTTTGCGAGAAATGTTGGTAAGCTTTAAGATTTTGTAGTAAAAATTCGTTTAATGGCTTTAGATACATTCATTCGAGGTACACACACTTTTAGATTTCTGTATGTCTCATACACTTACATAATTTTGTAAAGTAAAAATTTCAGCTTTTTAAGATTTTTTCAGAGTTAAAGTACGACACATCACAGACGTATTCTCCTTTATGTTCCAGAAAAGTGTTTTTTCTGATAGCTATATTGGAGCCATATTATCGTCGAATGTATTGGTCTACCAAATTTCACAAATATATAATGGAAATGGCGCCAGTGTATTAATATATTTTAAATCAGCTTACTTTGCGATGTCTACGACGGTTTGAGATATATTCACGTCTGTTTGACTAAGTGAATTCTGTTTGGCGTTTTCCCCATCATTATTGATAATACATAGTTCTTTGTGTATTAGAAACATAACAATTAAATACACAATACATAAATAAAACATGTTTGCAAATTAAGAGACCAAGTGAAACAGATTTGGGTTGTACTTTCTTTTTCACGAAGGTTTTGTACAGAAATTAGT